GACGGGTTAAATGATAGTGTAAAATAGACAAGACACCGAAAAATACAAATTTTTTTGAACTGCATTTTTTTTAGGGTTAGGATTAGGGTTTAGGATTTAAGGGTAGGTTTTATAATAAACAAGTATAAGGAGGAAACAAATAGAAACCCCTCATCTCATTTTAATCCGATTTCATTATGATCCGCGACAATAATTAAACAATAATTAAATAGTAATTAAATAGTGATTCGAGGTTTTTAATTTTTTTTGCCCAATTCCAAAAATACACCCGAATGCGATACATGCGATACATTCGATACGTAATGCCCGGGAATGTCATATAAACGTGATTGCATTGTATGAATGGCATGATCATCGAGAGAAAGTGATGCATAAAATTAATTAAAAAATTTAATAGATATCTGATATGTACGTACGTACCATGCGTGACAAATAATTTAGATCAATTTTAGATCAATTTTTAAAATATTATTTATACGATTATGTGATATAAAATATTAATTTTTCACTACTATGTGCAGCGCTATACGTAACCGAATAATCAGACGATAATCTTATGTTTCCTTGTAGTGCTTATTAGGTGGAGTACCTAAACGATACTCCAATCAAGTATAATAGCCAAGGAAATAAAACGTTAGTAAAAGTTGAATTGCACGCGTGGGTTTGTATTCCAAATCGACAGCATATCTCAATATTGGATAAATTAACAACCTTATTCAAGAACCGCGCCCTAAGTTTATGGTGTCAAGTCGTAAAGTCTCGAGTCTTTATTATAATACCAGTCCTCTTAGGACTTAGTGTAGATCAAGTCTGAGACCTAGTCCCAGGACTTAGGTCCGCCATATATACATAATATATACATATGGGGAATAGACTAAGAAAACTGTTGTTTGACATTTATTTTCAAATGGCGCGATTTCCTAATCTACTCACATATGTACTGTATGATCAAATAATACATACAGTTATTTTTGATATAAATAAAAATAAAAAAAAAATCTTGTATATAGTAAAGATTGAGTTATCAATTTTGCCATTTGTTCAAAATTAAATAATTATTTTTTTTTTTATAAAGTACACACGTAATTAAATATTTTGAATTATTTGTATCATTGTAATCATTGTAATCGTTGTAATCGTTATTAAGATGTTAGAAATAATGTTTTTTTTTTTTAAGAATTGTTTGTTTGAATGATACTAAAAAGAAAGGAAAAAAAAAACTATGTAATCAATGTATTCAGTGTATTCAATGTATTCTATGTGTGTGTAGTTACCATGTAGTTACACTATCACTACTTGACTACTTTCACAAATGTATTACTACTGTATTAAAAAAAAATAAAATGGAAAAAAAAATTTTTCTAAAGATTTCGTGGAACGAATTTGTAAATCCACGCTGGTTCTTTAACCTGTTTATTTTTCATATTGTACACAATTTTAATTCGTTTAAGTGGATTTATTTTTGTTTATCATCCTGTTTAATCTTTTTAAAATTTCAAAAAAGTTAATCTGGTTGACTTTTCTTTTTTCTGTGATTCGAGTATTAGCTTCCGAGAAATGGGGCTATGACGGAACTTATCGGGAAATGTGACTTGATTGAAAGACCGCCATGATTATTTATATTTGACTATGTGTGAGAAAAATTTTTTTTTCTTTTTTCTCTTTTGTTTATTTCAAAAAAAAGTTGTGGGGAAGGAAGGACACGAGTTGAGGCGCAATTTAAACATGTGAACGATTTCATCAACGATCAAA